CCCAAACCCAAACCCAAACCCAAAAAAGAAGTATTCATACTTTTTAAAATAACTTTTTGCGAACATAATTGTTCTATTCACAATATATTTGCTTAGGTCTGAATTATGATATTTTTTAATAGTGAATGGCAAATGAAATGAAGCCAATATTTGAGATACTAATTAAAAAAATCCTAGCTATGATGCTTTTAAGACAATAACGTTTCAGAATTTGCAATTATAAATATTATGATTAATTTCTTGAATAGTTTTATGAGTTCCCAATTATAGCTTTTTAAATTTTAATCATATTCTGATATAATTAGAGAAATTATTAAAAATATTTAAAATAGAGGGATAGAGCAATCAAATAATATAATCAATTATATTTAATATTTATTGAATAAAAATTTGGAAAAAAATATGTCTATGAACTGATTTTCTATAAACTAATTTTGAAAATTAAATTCATGCTCAAAAAAAAATTTTGTATAAAAATTGTATTTTCAATATTTTGCAAATGAAAAATTATTATTAACTATATGATTGTTCAAATATTATTTATATAAAAGCTCACAAAATCAGGTGGGAAAAAGAAAATGCTTCAGATTTTGAGGATTCAAGAAATTTCTAATTGAAAATAGTTGAAATTTTGGATATTTAATTTATTTAATTTAAATAATCAATCTCATTATTTTATTTGTATTTGATTAACTGTTTACACTGCAAATATAATCTTTTGAGTTTAAAGATTTTCCTTTTATAGTCCATTTTCTTTATTTTATGTTTGCCTCTCTTCATTAGATTTATGTCTACTTATTCTTTTTTCAATTAATTTTGTAATTTTACTTTTGATTTAGATGATAATTTCATGAAGCTCGAAAAGCAAATATAAAATTAGAACACTTACTAAAAAAAACATTTAAACCCAACTCACTATGATTATAAATTTATATTCAAAGTATCGTTACAAAATATCCCAATTTATGACTGTCGATGCTGTAAATAATGTTAGGGATGCTTCCATTATTATATTTTTGATTTAAATTTCGAATTCTTCGGTGGTCTTCATGTTAATTACATAAATTAAGTAGAATGCATTGATTAAAGTCATAAGCAAAGTTTATATTATCTACTCACGCTAATAAAATACAAGGACTGAAACTATTAAAATCTTTTTTATTAAAAGGAAAAAGGGTTATTTTTTAAACCAATATTGATCTAAATTTTATCTTTTCCAAGTAATTACTCCAGAAATTTACTATAAGATTAAAAGGAAAATCATGATTAGTATTATAAAAGTAATGGTTAGACGAACATAACTTCTATAATAAGAAAAATCATGGTTGGAAGATAATTCAAGCATTGCCATAAAGATAAGATCCCAACTACAAGCTAGCAAAGTACTTTGGATAAAACTTCTGTCGAATTTCTTAATTTATTTATTGAGTTTTCTTTAATATCTTTGTAAAAAACGAACAAATTTTGGGAAACCTTATAAAAATGAACTCATCTCCAAGATTGAAATAACTCTCTCCAATATTAAACTACTTATATAAAAAACAAATAAAGCGAGAAATACTAAAATTTCTGCTTTAAACCCCTCTGTAATATCTGCATTTACTTAGTAAAATTAAAATTTTTCATATGATTCTATATATGGAGATTTAAGTAATGACGTCTTCTCGCTTAAATTTGCGACACTATCTAACAATGATTACATTGATATCAATTCGGTTGATTGAAAATAAATAATTAAAGTTTGTGGGTATAAGACATTGATAAATTTGAGATATGATTACTGCTAAAGGGCATCCAACATTCCCCAAAATGAGAGTGCATTTCCTAATATCATTAAAATAATTGATAAAACATATATAGATAGAAACGACACTTTGCTAACCAATTAAACAGTTTTAGCTATTTCAACCTGTTAAGTAGATAAATAATTCGGTTAATTTAATTACAAATAATCCACCGTATTTACTAAAGGGGCTAAATTATCATTGTATAATTATTCAGTTAATGTGACTGTTAAGATTGGATACTAAAGTTAATTAGTAAAGATCTAAATTTATAAGATGTATTCTACATCTGATGTAACTTAATACTAAGCAGATTGAACTTCTAAAATTGTAATGTTATAATCAGTTTCATTCAAATCAACAATTGAAAGTTCTATGGCATCTTAATAATTAATATCAGAAAGTAATTAAACTTCCTAAGAGAATTTAATTCTCGTATATTAATATTAATTATTCTGCTCAATAAATTCACACATAAGCTATGGGTACTTAACAAACGCGCAATCATTACCTTAATTGCAGATCCAATCAATTTCCACTTAACATGTTTTAGAGCATCCATCACCACTATCTTCATTTCCATCATCACATTATTCTTCAATTTATAAGATCCCATCTCCGCATACATTTGAGCATTAATTTTGAATTAATTAAAATCCGATATTACAATTAATGCAAGTACCTTCAAAGCATTCATAACAATTGATAGGACATGAAAATTTACATAGATAACATCCATCATATTCTTAAGTATTATTATCTTCACATTATTCATTGCCAGCTATGATGGAATCCCCACAAATTGTAGAGCAGGCTTGATTCATAAAGTGAAACCCTGGCAAACATAAATCTAGACACATTCCTTTTTCGCAGTTATTACATCCTAGTGGACAAGAATAATGGCAATGGAAACAACCATCAAATTCGGTATCATTACCGTCATCACAATCTTCAGATTCCTAAACTACAAGATCTCCGCAAGTACCTATGCAATAATTATCAAGTAATTTCAAATTGCTCTTACATGAATAACAAATGGTATTTACACATTCTTCACAGTTTTGATCACAATTACATTCCATAAGTGTGTAAGGAGCTATTTAATCTCCACAAATATCTTAACACAAACCTAAAATTAAAATCTATCCAGGTTAACATTTATAACAAACATTGTCAACACAAACCTAACATTAAGCTTAACATAAATCTATTTTCTCCAATTAAACACAATAATTATCCTCCAATAAATAGTCATTCTCACATACCTAGCAAATGCCTGAATTACATTATAAGCAATGATCACTGCACTACATTTAATAATTATTGTAAGAGGTTTCCTAAACCAGTTATTTTTCACAATTATATTCTTATTCTAAATAAATCCAACCCTCAAAGCAACCAAGACAGATCATATCTTAACAGACGGAACATCCATCTACACATGAAAACATGCAGCCAAAGCAACCATCAAATGGAAGCAAATTGCCGTCATCGCATTCTTCATATAACTAAACAACTTTATCACCACAAATTAATCTTTCTAAATTAATATTCTTTTTATACTTATAAAAATTTAAATGTCTCTTGCTCCAAAAGACTCATCAGCATATGGTCCATCCAAATTATTTAAAAAGAAAACTGTGGGATTACTTAAAAAATGAGGAAATACCATATCTATATTAATAAGTACATCTAAGGAAGTTGGGTCACAAATTCCGTATAAATAATTAGGCAGGGAGGTTAGTGGCGATTCCCATATTAATTCCTGATCAACCGTCGTTTTAAATTAATCTCGCCATTCCCAAGTGCCAACCCTGAGATACATGAGTTTTATTCTCATTTATGTATGAACTGGCAAGTTCAATAAAGTCAACCTTAGTTGAGTATCTATTCCGCACTTTTCTTTGCCACATATAGTAGGAATCGCTAAAATAAAATATCAATATCTTACTATGACATTGCCATTTATTCTGATCTCCATTTATAATAGTCCATCCATCAGTAATAAAGTTGCCAAAAACAAGTTCTGTATAGGAGGAATGAGCTAGCATCCATGTGTTACAATCAACATCCCTATCTTAACTATTACAAGCAAGGCATCCTGGTGGACACAGAAAAAGAAAGAGTTTGAAATTCTTGAAGCCCCAAGATTCCTTTATTTATGAATAATAATACATCCAAAGCGTTATCATCCAAAGTACTAGTTAAGTAGATGAAAACTGTCAATCCTGTATGATCAAACTCTATTGATATTTAATTAATTGAATCTTTTCTACTTCCTTAGCCACATAGATAGTCTGTGCCATCTAAGCCTGAATAGCTAACATTGTACACTAACAGTTGATCTACATATACTTAGAAGAATTCAATGCCATCCCATGAATCGATTCTAAGCTATATAAACAGCTTACATATAAAGGTTCAGAGAAATTTTCAACCTATAATGAGGAGGTAATTGTAATAATTTTGTAGCAGCGTGCTGTTTTGCAAATTTATTATATCCTCCTATAATTTATTCTGAGCCACATTGAGTAATTATGTTTGAAGGATCAATGTTTAGGAATTACCAATCTAAACTCATAATATATATTACTATCAGATCCAGACAGATTAGTATCGGTAAACGCTGAATAAACTAGGGTTTAAGAGCTAGTTATATGTAAGAGGATAAAAATCAAGAGCATTAATTTACAAGAATGAATTAAGTGAAGGTTGTGTTAATTAATTTAATGTTTTACATATTTTTAAAAATGAATTTTCTTAATTTTATTTAAATGCAATATAATAATTTTTATGGAAAAAAGGTCAAATTTTAATCGATCTTTAATATAAACCACAGGTCTGAACTACTTCCACCAAAGAATAGGTTAACTAAATCTTAAACCTAAGTCTACTTAATACCATCTCAAATGTGAATTTTAATCTGAATTTAACTATTTTATCCACATAAATCCAAATGATGATGATAAGAAGAAGTTCCACATAAGGGCCATGATCCTTATTACATTAGGTGTGTTAATTGTAGGATTTCTAATATTCATTTCTTGTAAGTAGAAGAGCAAGAGTAAGTAAAGTTGATGATTTGTAAGTATTGTTGGGATAATTATTATATAAGATTGTATATTATTGAGTATTTAGAAAAATAAAGTTTGTGATATGATTGAAAATCCTATATAATGCTAAATGGGTGGTCATGAGTATAATTCTGTCTTGGAATGTTGAAAGTTCAGAATTTGTAAATAATTTAAAGCCCAATTGAATAATAGACTTTCATGCTGAACATCTAAATCAATTTTAACCATCCCTGATAACAAAAGGTTGTTATTCAAAGAAGTATTAGTTAGAATGTCTAAATTTAAAGAATTTGAATTATTAATCATTAAATTACTGAAAATAGATATGATTGAAATAAAAATAATTAATGATATTTATCTCTAAATCTTTTCCTTTTTAGGTATTTTTCCAAAATAAGTTAATTTTTATTTACAATTTTATTATTGTATTAAATCTATCCCACAAGCATCGTATTTAATAATTTCTGCTTTTCTATAAACTCGAGCTTTTGAACATTTAAGTTGTGATTGATTCTGAAGCTGTAATTCATTATATCATTAACATTTTATGGGTAATTAATAAGGATCGGAATTTGGAGACCTTATGGTTAGAACAGAAAAATCAATTTACTTTGCTGGAGATGTTGTGAAAGTAAATTTTCTACCATTTTAGGAAACATATACCTTCATATCATAAAATCAGGGTATCGAGGAAACGTCTTTCAATTTTCAATAGGAGGAAAGAGAAAACTAGATGGTAAACTGATTCTGGGAAAAACATCATTACACATTATGGGAAAAATGTATTCTATAAAGACACTGTTTTAATAAAAACGTTTTTAGTCGAAAAGTTAATGATTGGACAATTTATGTTCACTTTTGACTAGGTCTTCTAGTAGATCTGCCTGGATCTTTACATTATTCGGATTGTCTTCTGGCAAGTGTTGGCTACAAAATTAAAATTCGAGTAATATCAACCTCTAAATCAATTAATGATATTAAGAAAGAATAAGAAATAATCATTAGAGAACCAATTAAAGAAATATTATAAGTTCCTTAAGAAAAAGAGACTTCTAATCTGAAGACATGGTGCTGAAAAATCAAGGAGTAAATCTCATGTTATATCTAGTCCTGTTCTATAACTGGGAAGGTAGAGAGGAATTGATATTAACCAGGAGAATATGTTTAAATAGTGTATAATATAGATAATTCATATTGTAAGCTTAACATAAGAAATGCTGATGTGATTATTATGAGTATGCTAAACATCAAATCTTGTTTTGGTTCTTAAGACTGTATAGAATTGAAAATTAACTCCTTATCACGGAATGGAATATAAAAAGGAACGAAACTATAATCATCTGCATCAACAGGAACTTCATTGCGTTTGGTTAATGCTAAACATCCAGCGATTGTTCTCACACCTTCACAGGTGGTAATCTTGTGAATTTCTCATACCATGTGAAAATAAACCCAAATTTTGAAGATATATATTATAAATATCTGCAGGTTGTACATGTTGTAGTTCAAAGCCAATAGTATAAGTACCCATAATTTTGTTAGAAGTTCTTCCATAAGATTATTAAGAATCAATTCATTATAAAATCAAATAGCATCAACCCTTTCAATAACAAAAATTTGAAAAATATTGATAGTCCAATTAACAGCTTTTAGATAAATATTGCATTAAAAAATTATATAAGTTCAAATAATTATCAATATCAAAAGAAAGAGGCAAAATTTCTATTCTTAAAGTCTATAAAATGAAATTATTGTTCTGGTAGTAGTAATCAATCCAATTTGAAAAATTGTCCTAAAATCGATGTTAAAAACAATTAAATGAAAAATGAATTTTAACACAATTATATAAAAATCACAAACAATTTTATTAGTTTTTAGTATATTGGTTATCGAAATAAGTGATCATCATTATAATTTTTATTTGGAAACATGATATTTTGAACCCTATAATATTTATTGAATTATTAAAAGTTAATCTAAACAATTGCATCTTGAATTGTTTTACTTAGATTACTTTTGAGTCAACTTATAAATGAGCGGATCTTTCATAATAAAAATGGACACTTCTTAAGTGATTATAATCATAAATTAATTAATCTATAATTTTATTATTATTAAAATGCTCGCACGATCAACTAAGATCTTTAATTTAAACTTAAAATAATAATATGATTTAGAGAATAGACATGCCAACTAATTATTGATGGATGGTTATTATAAGTATTATTCTGGATTAAATTTTTCCTATGATAACTAAAAATTTGTTTTATTTGAGGAATATAGGAAAGTAACTTCGAAATGTTAATTAAGAATTTTTGACGTTTTAACTTCATAATTGTTGTACGAAGGATAGTTAGAAAAAGGAAGTTACTTTTAGCATTAGCACCAATTTACTTTGGATTCTAAATTTTACATCTATTTATAAAATTTCAACCAAATCATAATTATTAATATACTAAATAATTCAAAAGCATAGATAAAAAAAAAATATATGAGAGGATTTTCTATTGATTCAGATAATGATATTTATGTAATAAATGAAGATCACACCATATCAAAATATTCAATTGATGCTAAATTAAAAGCAAATCTTAATATTAACAATCTGATTTTTAAAAGTTTTATTTTTAATTTTAAGAATATATTTTAGCAGAGTATGGTAGTAGTAGCAAGTTAGACCTAATATATGATTGATTTTGCAAATTTAAAAATTAAGTGGTAAAGAAAGAGTTAGATGGTCTATTTTAATTTTATTAAAAAAGATTACTTTTTAGTAAGTTGTAAAGATGCTTAACTTTAGCAGACTAGAAATGGTAGAATTATTCGAAGTGTTTAAAATAATAAAGAAAATATCATAATTGAAGGAATAAACTCAGTTTATTTTGTTTTTGATTTAAAACCCAAAGGGTAGGAGACTTTTTTTGAAATTTATGATATAATAATAGGTGTTAAAAAGTAGGTGAGATGGGGTAATGGAAAAATTGTTATTGATTTAATGAGTTTAACAATTGTAGATTAAACTCTTATTGCTTGGGACAATGATAAAAACAACGTTAAATGGTTTGAAATCGAATGAAGATTTTAGTATATTTTATTAATTCAAACCTTATTTTGTATTTTATTTATCCGATAATCAATACTTGAATTTAATAATCGGAGAACAGTTCATCCATGTCTCAAATTGAAATTTTTACTCTGAAATAAAGAATATAGTAAATTTGATTCTTAAATCAAGTAGATATTGATGTAACAAATTAGTAGTAATGGTTCTTAAATGATCAAAGGAAGGGCAGAATAACACGTTAGAGGATGAAAATTAAGAAAGTGAATCAAAGAAAATTAGAAAATTAATTTTGACAAATTTGAAGGTGAGTCAAGCTAGAAAACAATTATGGCATACGATAATACTTATAAGTGATATAATATATGAAATTATGAATACAAAGTTTAACAATACCTTTTTATAATGGTTAACAATAGGGATAGTTATAGCAGATTTTTTTTTCATATCCCTTCTTTATTTGTCCCTNTATTATTCTGGATTAAATTTTTCCTATGATAACTAAAAATTTGTTTTATTTGAGGAATATAGGAAAGTAACTTCGAAATGTTAATTAAGAATTTTTGACGTTTTAACTTCATAATTGTTGTACGAAGGATAGTTAGAAAAAGGAAGTTACTTTTAGCATTAGCACCAATTTACTTTGGATTCTAAATTTTACATCTATTTATAAAATTTCAACCAAATCATAATTATTAATATACTAAATAATTCAAAAGCATAGATAAAAAAAAAATATATGAGAGGATTTTCTATTGATTCAGATAATGATATTTATGTAATAAATGAAGATCACACCATATCAAAATATTCAATTGATGCTAAATTAAAAGCAAATCTTAATATTAACAATCTGATTTTTAAAAGTTTTATTTTTAATTTTAAGAATATATTTTAGCAGAGTATGGTAGTAGTAGCAAGTTAGACCTAATATATGATTGATTTTGCAAATTTAAAAATTAAGTGGTAAAGAAAGAGTTAGATGGTCTATTTTAATTTTATTAAAAAAGATTACTTTTTAGTAAGTTGTAAAGATGCTTAACTTTAGCAGACTAGAAATGGTAGAATTATTCGAAGTGTTTAAAATAATAAAGAAAATATCATAATTGAAGGAATAAACTCAGTTTATTTTGTTTTTGATTTAAAACCCAAAGGGTAGGAGACTTTTTTTGAAATTTATGATATAATAATAGGTGTTAAAAAGTAGGTGAGATGGGGTAATGGAAAAATTGTTATTGATTTAATGAGTTTAACAATTGTAGATTAAACTCTTATTGCTTGGGACAATGATAAAAACAACGTTAAATGGTTTGAAATCGAATGAAGATTTTAGTATATTTTATTAATTCAAACCTTATTTTGTATTTTATTTATCCGATAATCAATACTTGAATTTAATAATCGGAGAACAGTTCATCCATGTCTCAAATTGAAATTTTTACTCTGAAATAAAGAATATAGTAAATTTGATTCTTAAATCAAGTAGATATTGATGTAACAAATTAGTAGTAATGGTTCTTAAATGATCAAAGGAAGGGCAGAATAACACGTTAGAGGATGAAAATTAAGAAAGTGAATCAAAGAAAATTAGAAAATTAATTTTGACAAATTTGAAGGTGAGTCAAGCTAGAAAACAATTATGGCATACGATAATACTTATAAGTGATATAATATATGAAATTATGAATACAAAGTTTAACAATACCTTTTTATAATGGTTAACAATAGGGATAGTTATAGCAGATTTTTTTTTCATATCCCTTCTTTATTTGTCCCTATTATGTCTACTAGAGTGAAATTGATACATTTAAAAATACTTTAGTAAAAGTTCAATTTTCATATTTCTGTTATTCTTATTTATGGACTTAATGATGCTATAATATATTCAAAAATTGCAAAACCTAAATATTATTATATGTGTTTATCATTGTATGCTTTTCTGAAGTAGATTTATTTCAGAATTTACAAAATGATTTATACAAAGTTTGCATATAAATTCTACTATCTTTTCAAGAGACAAATCAATAAAATTGGATTAAATCCTAGATTTTACAATGCTTATCAAAAGTTAGTCTATTCTTAAGCCAATAATTCTAGAGAAGTTTCAGATCAAATTAAAAATGATAGAATCGAAGAATTATAAATATAATACATAAATAATGAAGTATTTAAATTGATATTAATTTGGTGAAATTTTAATATTTATCTGAATGTTGAGTATAATATTATGTGGTTAATTGTGATTAAGCTTGAATTATTATTATAATGATATGATGAATTCATTCATTTTCATTCTAAAAAAATAAAATAGTTTTAATATGTATCTTGAACATATTAAATTCGGAAAATTTCTCCAATATAGATTAAAATCTTATTGTATACATTTCAGAATATTTGATTACATTAATTTATAATGATAGTTAATTAGTTTTGAATCTAAAATTAAAGAATAGATGTTAAAAGAAGATCTAAATATAAGATAATGTTTTGATGTATTAAATAACTAAGATGGAATAATACTCCAGTGGGATTTTGAAAATAAAGATGATATAATTATTAAATTATTTATCAATTGATATGATATAAAAGATTGGTGTTCAAACTCTAAAATAAATTAAAAATAAACTATAGTTCTTCTAAATAAATGAAAAAGTATGATGAACATAAACCAAGCCAAATATTGGAAAGTTGAAAAGGAGTTTTAATAGTTATAGAGAAAGTGAGACGATACGCTATTATTTGACCATTCTGAATAAGAATTATTTGAGAAAATAATCAAAAAAGTCCCTAGCCAGAATAAGTTAAACCATGACTTCAAGTGAAGTAAGACCTATAGATTTAATTGAATTCCTTAAAATTAAACAGATAATGTCTCTTTGAGGCCTTAAGTTCATATACTTTTTTTAATATAAAGTCAATCTGAATAAATATTTTACATTTCTTATTAAGATAATTGACTGCTTTATAGATTTTTTATATTTAATTAAGCTGATAAACCTAAGACAAAAGAAAGTACAGAGGATTCTTATGTTTGTTTATTGCATGATTATAATTTCAATGCTGTCTTTAATTGACTTACTTATTAATAAAATGAGATTAAATCTATGTATAATTATTTACAAATCTTTTCCATTGTTATTTGATATAGTAATAAATAATGTTAGAAACAAGATTTTCATTTCGAAAAGAAATCAAGTTTAAAAAATTGGAAAAATAATTCAATTATTTTAAATAATAATTACTCGAAAGGTTAAACATATATTATGCGATTTATATTTACAGAATTTGAACAATAATATTGATATAAGTGAGTTTACAAAATAATTGAAGCGGGATCTCTATAAGAATTAATACATTTTAGGTTT